TAGGCAAGTGCTCTACCACTGAGCTATAACCCCAGTTTATTTTAATTTTTATTCTAATTAATTATACATGATGGCAGAATGCTTTTTGATTCATTTTACACAAATGGAGCAAGATTTTTCACTTCTCTGGTACAAAGTAGGTTCACACCATTCGTGTAATCATATCTGTACCTAGAATAATGATGTCTGTCTCATTCCACCATCTTTCCTATCCCCATGCTCCATCCCTTCCCATCCCTCCCCTTTGCCCAATCCAAAGTTCTTCCTCTCATCCCATGCCATTCTCCCCATTATGGATTATCATCCAATTATCAGAGAAAACATTTGGCCTTTGGTTTTTGGGGATTGACTTACTTTGCTTAGCATGATAGTCTCCAACTCCATCCATTTACCTGCAAATGCCATATTTTCATTCTCTTTTATTGCTGAGTAATATTCCATTGTGTGTATATACCACAGTTTATTTTTCATTCRGCTATTGAAGGGCATCTAGGTTGGTTCCACAGTTTGTCTATTGTGAATTGTGCTGCTATAAGCATTGATGTGGCTGAGTCACTATAGTATGCTGTTTTAAAGTCCTTTGGGTATAGACCATCTGTTTCCATGTAAGATTGTTGTCATAATTTTTTTTCTTTTTTTCCCTTCTGGTTCTGAGGATCCTCACATCTGCTAGGTAAGTGCTCTAATGCTGAGCTACACCCCATTTTCACTCTGCCAAGGTTAAGGCACTCATTCCCCCAGCTTGGGAAGGTTGGTGGCTGAGTTCTTCTGCAAGAATTCCTGACAGCCAAAGAGAGCCTATTTGCCTAAGGTCATTCTCCCTCCTTGAGGAAACCTACATCCAATGACTTCTGGATATGGTCCAGCCCCCTTACTTCCAGGCAGGACAACTGTGAAGAGATATTCCAGTCTCTCTACTTCCAGAAGGATTGGCTAAGCCCTCTTTTATAATCACATCACAACCCAGTCCTGCCCGCCTCAGTCCTCATGGATATTGTTTCCAAGAGCACTTCCTAATGAACCCCCCATGTAGAAATATGTCTTAAGAGTGTATCCTGGGAAGCCCAACCTGCAACAGATATAAAATACAGGACATCAATAATATGTGTTCATAGTGAAACAGAGAATAGAGGATAAAACAAGGGGGTATAATGTTAACAATTGGTGATCTGGATGATGAGTATATAGGATTTTGTTTTTGTATTCTTGTAACTTTTCTGTATTTTGAAATTATGACAAAATAAAAGTTTTAAAAATAGAACAAATACCAGTTACCTGAAGATACTTTTGTGTAATTATGCTCTGAGACAATGAAATTGGAGTCAACTTCTTCTAAACTTCTGATTCTGCAAAAATTAGATATAAACTTAATCACTGGGGGACTTTACATTTATATCTTATCAGTTCTCCATCAGCCCACTGAATATTTTCCATGATGGGGTACATTGTCTATTATAAGAAACTTTTAAGTAAATGACTTAATTTACTTAAATGATACCTGAAAGGATACTGTCAATCCATAGCAACAATGTTAATCAGATGTTAAATAATAAATGTAACAGCTTGGAAATTTGTTCATTTTGTGGAGCATTTCAGTTCCAAAACACACTATTGCATTGCGCATGTCTAACAGTCTGTCAGTTTGATATCTCATCTAAGATCTATCGCAGGGTTTRCCAGTTCTGCCTTGAAGTATTATCTGAATGCTGCAGGCTCAACGGGGTCTATAGCTTCTCTCTAGATAGTTTCTACTCCTGCTTAGGACCTCAATATCTGGGCACTCATCTTCGAACACCCCACAGCACCATTTCCTGCAGGGTCTTTACTTTTTTTTCCTCTGAGGTTTCTCACTTGGTTTGATGCCAGAGGGACTTTATTTCTGCTAAGGAACTAAATTTGTGTCCTCCCCTTTTATTTCTTTTGAAAATCCAGAAATGTTGTATTGTCATCTAATCTTACTAAGCACACCTCACTCACTTGCAGTGTTTAGCTGATGGCAAAAATAAAATAAATAAATACAAAGAATGACTTTCCATAGACTTAACTATGTGCTAACTGCCTTCCTTCTTGCACTATAAGATAGGTTTCTTACATTTTAGTTCTTCTAGGCCAAAATGCATCCCCAAAGATGCAAAATATTTTTCTTTCATAATTCTTGCTATTCTTCAGTTTCTCTAACAATTTTCTTTAAAATTGGCCTTTTGAAAATGTTATTAAATCTGCTTCCCTAATGTCTAACCCTAAGTCCATATCATATCACAGAGAATTTTGGTGCTGAATGCTAAAGGGGCAATAATACGCCTCCTGATTAAATCCATGGAAAGAAGATGAATGAGTTAAGCCCCAGTCACCACTGTTTGCCAGTGTTCATACACCCAAGCCCCAAATAAGCTCATTTTAATTATTCATTTTCATGTGAGGTTGCAACATATGAAAAGCTACAGCCATAAATAAAAAGTTCTTGTTATTTCCTCAGTATCCCTGATATATGCGTAACTTGCCAATAGTTCCTTCTGCTTGGAATAATTTTTCTCTTCCTTTACAGTGGTTGGAATCCTAGCCAGCCTTCAAAACCTTGTTCAAATTTGCTTCCTGTTTCAGGTTCTTCTTACAGTTAGTTCATTCAAGAAAGTTCATTATATAATTCTTCTCATTGTTTCCTATAAGTCTGTATGCTAATCTTATCTTTCCACTCAGGCTATAAGTTTTTTTGAGGGCAAAGACCATGTCTCATACCATTGCTTTTTGAAGTATTTTTCTTGTATAATTTCTAAAATGATTTTGAAAAATTATGTACCTCCTCATACATTTTTAGATTGAYGTGGAATTTTATAAGAATGAATAACTTCAAAGGGAATAATTCTGGCCTATTATAAATATTGACATTAAAGACAGAAGAAAAGAAAAATAAACTGGACTAAGTTTTATTCAAGAGTATCTAAGGGAATCTAAATACCATTGGGATTGGTACCTATAATCATTCATTTGAAAACAACACAAGAAGTCTTTATCTGCTGGAAATTTTAACATCATTCTCTTTTTATCCTTGAAGTCATAGTTTTATTCCACATTCCTTTCCAAATCTTATCCTTATATAAGCTGTTTTTGTGCTCAAAGTCTTTTCACATCAAATATGTACATAAATTGAAATTATTTTTCAAAATCTTCTGTGAGCAAAGGTTTTAAGTGATAAAATATTCCTTCTAGATTGATTTCTTATTACAGTTATTGTTATTACACAACCACAATCTGTCAAAACCATGTGAATGCATTGTAAAAACTATCAAACATATATAAAATACTTACCAAACATAAAGAATATACTTTTATTGGAAATGCATGCTTTTATGAGATACATGGGATTATTCCTTTACCTACATATGAATATTACTTATTGATAGATATAAGCAGGTTCAGTATAAATTCTGTTTTACATTTTTATAGATGCAAATACTATAAAAACTTGTTCATATGAATTATAGGTGGGACTAGAAGGTGCTTTATTATAGTACTGTCAGTTTATGAATTCCTTCAGAGTAATATATCAAAATTATTTATTTATTATAAAAACATTTTTCATCTCTTGTTGACTGTTAACTAAGTCTTTTTTTCAGTTATTGAAAGCAAAGAATTGAAGCATCTTCCTTAAAAAAAGTTTTATTAAAATAGYCATTAGGAGTAATTTCTTAATTTTGGAAGTAAACCCCAAAATGTTACTAAAATTTACCAAATAACTATTAATTAAGCCTATTATACTTTAATTTAACTTAATATATTCAGAAACTGGGAAAATAAAAATGTTAATTGCAATATACCTGTCAATACAATAATTTTTTGATAAAGTGATTTTATTGTAGCATGTGGTTTAAATATATTTTTATCAACTCTTCAGAACTGCAGATTTGGTTCATTTAATTTTTGGAAAGTACCTATCATATAACCTAGTTGACAAAGCCAACTCTCATTGTCTGAAACAACGAGCCAAGTTGGATTTAAAGTTTTGTTTTCCCATAAAATATATATTTATTTGAATAAATGTGAAAATAGACATTGTTCTGATTACCTTCACACTACTGAGTTCTGTTCCTAAGGTGGAGAACTCAGGCTTGGAGCTTTGTCACAGTTCCCTGTGTTGATGACATAAAGATCCTGCCCCAGGCTTTCATTTACTGTGCTCTCAGTGATCTCTTCCTTAGGAATGATGCATTGTTTCACAATATTTGGGAGATGAAAATCACAAAGACATCAAGTGAAACTTGTCACCTGTCCTGCTGCCCCATACTTTAATACTGTATATCTGAATACCAAACACCTGTATGGACCAAAACACCCTGTTATTTGTGGCATGCTTTGCCATCAAAAGAATATGTGTGAGACAGGATGCTGGGGTTTTTTGGGCCTTGATAAAGGAGTCCTCCCTAATGTAGTGTTTTTCCCCCGACTGTTGTTTGTCACCGTAGAAGTTCTTATGCTTTGCAGTTTAATAAAATGAATGAAGGGACATGTCTTTCTTTTGTAAAGTGGGGATAAATTGATTATGAATRTGATGGGGAGAAGACCTAGCCTGCAGCCTCTATGTAGTTGCATCCTCAGACAGATGGGTTTTTGGAAAGAATATAAGCAAGCATTTTGGATATGTAAAGTGATTGCTTTAAAAGGGTTTGTCCCCACCTGGGAAATCTTTATGAAGCCCCAATTGTGTATATACTAGTTGAAGATAGCTTTCTTTTACTTCTTATTGCATATAGTAATATGATGACCTAGAATGGGTACATGTGACCTTCAGTAATTGATATGGGAAAGGGCTAGAATTTAAGTTGTATTTTTTAAATCATTCTGAAGATGCATTTATAAACAAGTGATTAATACTCTAAGTGCTTGTTGGCAGATGTGTATTAGTTGGCAGAATGAATCTTGAGAAGCAATTAAAAATTATGAACTAATACAAAAACATTACTCTTTTTTGCTGAAGTAAAACATTAGTTTTATGTCGTTGACAGAAAAAGCAGGATTGAAACAAGAGCTGCACCAAGACATGCAGTCGCCTGCAGGCACGGTGTTGTCCCAGGAAATTCTACCACTCAGGATAAATTCTTGGAAATCAACAGAGGTAAGTCATTGCTGTGGATTCTTTTGCTGTTGTAACAAATTACCAAAAACTTTGTGCCCACAACACCACACATTAGACTGCCAGATCTGTGGGTTGGAAGTCTGACCCCTCTCTGGGCTGAAACCAAGATATCTGCAGGGCTGCATTCCTCTGAGAAGGATKCCTGTTTCCTTGCCTTCCCAGTGTCATGTGCTTGTCTTTTCACTTTGTTTTTGGTATTTTTTATTATACAGGGTTTTAAATATGAATAAGGACAAATTACGAAGTTTCCCTTTATGCTTTAAAATTATTCATATTTAAAACCCTGTATAATAAAACATCTTAAGAAATTTTTCCTTCTCCTGTTATAATCAAAATCTCTTGTATTTTCCCCTAAGAGTTGAGGTCCTTATTCCTCTAGAACTTTACTATGTATTCATTATACCATATATTATTTTATTTGTGCCCTGTGGATAGGCAATGTTTAATTTACTGAGTAGTTTATCTTTTCCTACTCATTTAAATATCTTTTTATTACAAAATTATTGTAAACTTACAGGAAATTACAAAAACAGTACAGAGTTCCCACCATCCAGCTTCCTCTATTGTTGAGTCGACACCTTTTATAGCTGATGTAAATGCCAACATCAGGAAACAGACATGGGCATGTTAGTGTTAACTAGACTATAGACCTTATTTGATGTTTAGTTTGTTTTTAAATTCAGTATTCAATATTTTTTTAACTTGTGTTTTTGTATTTGGTTCTGTGCAGTTTTATCCTACACAGATTTGTGTAACTAGCAYCACACTAAGAATATAGAACTATTCCAACCCCACAGTAGTCCCTAATGCTACCCACTCCACACCCCCAACCTTATCCTCTAGCAGCAACTAATCTTTCCTCCATCTCTATATAGTTTTTGTTGTTTATTTATGTAATTTATATTATATAAATGGAATCAGATAGTAAATAACTTTTTGAGATTGAATTTTTCACTCAATGTAATCCTCTTGACATCCATTCAGGTTGTTGCACATATCAGTAATTTATTCCATTTTATTGCTGAGTAAAATCACATTATAAAGACCTACCAGAATTTGTTCAGTCATTCACCCAATGAAGATTATTTAGGTGTTTCTATGTTTTGGCTACTTATGAATAAAGCTGCTATGAATATTTATGTATAGATTTTTGGTGTGGAGTTTTCATATCTATAGGATAGATGTCCAAGAGTGTGGCTGTTGGGTTGTATGATAAGTATGTACCAAGTTTTATAAGAAACTGTACCATTTTATATTCCCACGAGCCATGTATGAGAGATCCAGTTCCTCTGCATCCACAGCTTTTGGTATTACCACTATTTTAATTTTATCTGTGACTAACAAGTTTATAGTGATATCTCAGGGTGGTTTTAATTTGCGTTTCTAAAATGGCTAATGATGATGATCATTTTTTTATGTACTTATTCAGCTCATTATAAATTCTCTTTGGTAAAATACATCTTCAAGTCTTTTGCCCATTTTCTAGTTGAATTCTTTTTTACCATTGAGTTTTATGAACTTTTCATATATTCTGATACAAGTCCTCTGCTAGACATGTGATCTGCATGTGTTTCCTTCCTGTCTGTGGCTTATCTTTTCGTTTTCAGTGCTGGGGACTGAACCTATGATCTCACACATGGTGGGCAAACACTCTACCACTGAACTGCAACCAGTTTTTTTCTTTTTTAATTTTGAGACAAGGTTTCACTAAGTTGCCCACAGTGACCTTGAACTTTGATCCTCCTGCCTCCTGAGTAGGGGATAATAGGTGTACACCACTGAACTCAACTTATCTTTTCTTTTTTTTTTTCCCAACTTATCTTTTCTAACAATATTTTTCATAGAGAAAAAATTTAAATATTTGATGAAGCCCAGTGTACCAATTTTTTTCATTTATGGATCATGCTTTTGGTGTCTTATCTAAGAACTCTGCCTAATCCATGGTTACATCTCCATAATTTCTGTAATTTATTTATTATTAGTAGTATTATTTTGCCTGTGACTGTCAAATATGCTTAAGTGTAGGTTTTCTCTTTCTTCCCTGTCATCCATGGCGGTTTTCAGTGCAAAAAATTCTGTCATCTCTTTAATTCTGAGATTGTTATCTTTTTTTWAAAAAAAATGCTTCCTATTGTTTATTTTTTTCTTTCTTGGACTCCTACTATATGGATATTTTAGTAATTCTCTTTCTGTCTTCATATCTCTTAACTTCACTTTTTAGTTTTTGCTCCCTGATTGTTTTCTGTTTCTTCAATGAGTTTCTCCATCTTGATCCTCCAGTTTTATCATTTTTTAATGCTATATTCATTCCATTATTTAGTCCATCTATGTTCTTTATTTTAACTATTCTGTTTTTATATTTAATATTTGTTTCAGTCTTCATATCATTCTTCCTATTTCATATTTATTATATATTTATTTCAGTATTTTTATTAAAGTTATTTTAAATTCTTGGTCCATCTTTTCTAATGTTGTATTTCAAATGAAATCTGAGATTCAGTTTTTTTCCTTTTGAAATAGTTATACTTCTCAATGGACTGGTTACCCCCCAGAGCTATTGGCTGCTCTGTCTAGGATTGCTAAAGGCTAGATCCTAGTCAGTATCAGCTTGTCAGCTTTAAGTRGGAAATGGGAAAATGGACTTTGGGTGGGCTGCACGTCTTTCCTCACCCTCCAAGAAGGACCAGAGCTAATCATGCCCCACTTCAGGTTCAAGGCCTCAGGATAAGTCTTTATCTTAGTACCCCAAGAAGAGGAGGCCTTAGAGGAGATGCTTCCTAAACTGTAAACATGACTGGGGAGTAGAAAAGGAAGGGGTAAGAATCATCCTCCCTCAAAGTTTTCTCATCTCCTCCCCACCTAGGGCTTCTGTGCGGACCAGAAGGTAGTTCTGAATACAGCTTTTGAGTCACAGCGGGTGTGGAGGCAGGTGCCAAGGCAGTGGATGAGTGGCGGCAGTTCCTGCAGCTTCTTCCTTTATTTATCCTSCCTCTGCACAAGCCACCTTGTGCCCTAGGATAAGGCCAACACCAACTTCCCCACTCACACACAGATATACCAGTTCAGAAGAGCCCTCTGTCTCACTGGGGACCTCTTGGTTTTCTTCTTATTTTGGTGTCCTGCCCTTACATTATGTCAGCATTTATCCCAAGGTAGGTAGCCAGCAGCACCAGCACCTGTTCTGTTCTTTTTTCAATATTCTCTGACCTTTTCGGACATACACCTACTTAACTTCTGTTTGCACTTGCATGTACCAATATGCATCTTCTGATACATAGCTCTTCAAATGCTACTTTTTCTCTATTTCTTTGAAATTTTTCTGCTTAATTTCTATTAGATATAAGGTCATTTAATCTGTCCTTTTTCATGTTTTTCAACTGCTTTTTAAAATATTTTTTCTCCTGTCTCCATGCTGCACTTTAATCTATCTTCTAGTTCAACTTATTTTTCTTTTGTTGGTGCCTACTCAGAATTCTTCCTGTCCAGTGAGTTTTTTATTTCAATAAGTGCATTTTTCATTTCCAGGATCTCTTATTGCTTATTTTTAATATTAACTTATATTTATTTCATATCTCCTTTTTCTGGGGGTGGGTACCGGGGATTGAACTCAAGGGCACTCAATCACTAAGCCACATCCCCAGCCCTATTTTGTGTTTTATTTAGAGTCAGGGTCTCACTGAGTTGCTTAGCACCTTGCTTTTGCTGAGGCTGGCTTTGAACTCACGATCCTCCTATCTTAGCCTCCCAGGCTGCTGGAATTACAGGTGTGTGCCACAAAGTCCAGGTCTACTAGGTATTTTTTGTTATTTTTTTCTGTTTCCTGTTTTCTTATTTCATAAAATTAATATTGTGCTTTTCATTATCTTTTTGAGGATTCTAAGCATATTTAATTTTAATACTTTTTAAACTTATTATTTTTATTTTTTCAGGAATGAATTCAATTCTGTTTTACAATATTGGATTATAAGCTCATCTTCAGTGACTCTAGCTTTTAAAATCTGTGTGCATATGTCCCCTTACCTCTCTCTTCTTTTTTTTTTTCATTTGCTTCTTCCTGACCATTGGGACAACCACCACACTCAAGGCAGCTTGAGCCTCATTTCTTTGGCTGGTATTAGATATTGCAGATCTGGGGCCTCGTCCATGGAATGCCATGATTTACTTGCTGGACAAGTTTGTGTCCTCTTGCCTAACCTAGTGTAGTAACTTTTAGAAGCCACAACCCCAGACTTTGATTGATGGCAGGTTATTTCAGCCTCCTTCATAAACAGGGGATCCCAATGACTGCACATAATTTCAAGGAGTAAGCCTGTATTCAATGGATACTTTTACACTGTATATACCCCTCCAGAGTTGAGTTCCTGGTTTTCTCTGCCTTTTTCTGGACTCCGAGCCCCAGGAGTCCACAGCTTTAACCATTGTGTGTTTCTTGAAATTAAGAAGCTTTTGCCCATGAAGATGTTAATGTTAATTTCAAGCAAGATTTATCTTCTTAATTTTCACATTTATATTTTCTCTTTAATTGTTCTGTATTAGGAGAAGGAAGGTATCCCCAAAGAATGAACCTGTAGAACCATCTTGACTATTGTTAAGGTTTAGATAAGGTGTCTCCCAAAAGCTCATGTGTGAGACAATGCAAGAAAGTTTAGAGATGAAAGTGTTGCATTACAAGAGGTTTAACCTAATCCATGCATTAATCCCAGTAGGGATTAATTTGGTGACTGTAGGCAGGTGGGGTGTGACTGGGGGCATTCTTGTGGGTTTTATATTTTGTCCTTGTTGAGCAGCGCTTTCTCTCTCTGCTTCTTGATCTTCATGTCCCCACACTCTTGTGCCATGGTGTTCTGCTTCCTCTCCTGCCCAGAACAATGAAGTTGGCCATCTATGGACTGAGACCTCTGAAACTGAGCCCCTAAATAAACTTTTCCTTCTCTAATTGTTCTTGCATTTTGGCATTTTGGTCAAATGGTGAAAAAGCT